ACTTGGCAAGTTGTTGAGAAGCTATTGCAGCATCCCCTTATTCCTCTCCAAGTAAATCTGCACTCAAATTCCTGATTTTTCTAGGTACCCACGTGATTCATGTTCATGCGCATTCTCAACTATGGTTCGCACAATTGTTGAGAAAGTGTTTTTATGAATGAGTATATGATAGTGTCGTTGCACACACTGGTTCTAAGGGTAGTGCCAGAAGCATAACTGACCGCTTACATGTAAAAATGTCACTTTAAGGTGAACTTATCGTTAAGCCTGCCTAATACGGTCGGTGCAAACGGCCATCAAGGCATTTTGAATCTACAGGCAAAAAGTCAAAATTTTCTGAAAATTTCAACACTCTGTATTTTCTTAACGAGACGTTTGCGGACATATGTATCTATGCAAAAAGTGAATGTCCTACTGTACTTTACCTATCATAACAAAATGCACACTTATTTCAGACTCACCCTGTATATGACTTCATAGTTGGAAAGAGTCGAATTTTTTGATTTGAAATATATAATATTATGATTTAACTACTTTTAATGAAGCCGTTTTGGAAATATTATGGTCTAAACTTCAAGAAAATAATACATTGAAACATACTGTTCCAACCGACGTGAGAACCGTTCTAGAATGTTAATTTCCAATTGCCCACCTATTTTCCAATAAGTTGAACGTTTATTCTAAATGACAAATGAATTGATCGACTGGAAATTACCATTCTAGAATAATCTATGAAGTCATATACAGGGTGTTCCATAAGAAAAAACTGACCATCTGTCAAACTTTGACATTTCTAAAAAACAAATTTCTTGATATCGGATTCAAAAATTTCAGGTAAAACCCCAACACTTTTTGATATGTCTTGACATAACCTAAGTAGTGACTAGTGGGGGGTTAATATAAGGGGAAAGACCCTGTACAGGATGTTCAGAAATAAATTCAAATAATGTTCAACTGTCGTATTGATAAAAAAACAGTTCAATTTTAAAAGTCTTCAAACTTTTAAGAAACTCTGTATAAAAATGATATTTCAGGATCTGAAAATCTCTATGCGGATTTTTTTTAAATTAAATTGTAGCTTTATTCATAAAGTCTTATCTGAAAAACACCCTTTCAATTGCCGAATAGTTTTATGTGTCAGTTACAATGAAATTCCAAAAATGTTATCGCTATACAGAGTGTTTTTTAGAAGTTAGAGGCTTTTGAAGTTTCAAACTTTTTTGTGCCATCTTGTACATGTTGAGACTCATAGGAAATCTATCGGACATCCGAAACCTTTGAAGCATTTTCAAAATTTTATTAAGGGCCATTAATGTTGAAGATGCAAAAATTCACTTTCCATTTTTCAATGCTTTAGCTATCAGAGCAAACTTTTTTCTAAATTGTAGATCAACAGGCTGCGGAAAAATGAAAATTGCGTTATGCTTTTTGACAAGAAAAATTGTGAAACAAATGCCGAATTTTCGCGACGAATGTAGTTCATCAATAGTTCGTCTTGTGACGTCATGAGTTTGAACGCTGGCTTGAAGCTGTGTCCATGCTTTCGGCGAACTACGGCATGCTACTCACGAAAACATGAAAGTAGTTCGTCGCGAAAATTTGGTTAAATTGTATTTGTGAATAATGGTTGAATTTTCCAAAATTTTCTATTGATAAAGGACCCTGCCCAAAGTATATGGAAATTGTGTTTATGTCAGAATTGGCTAAATTTTGTAGTAATTTAGATCACGCTTTTGTCATTAGGAGTAACCATTGCACCAATCCTGAAAAATGACTCAGCAGCCATCTACTCATCAATATACTATTGAATTGTTCCAATAAGACATCCACCTGAAACATGTAGTTTTTAAACTAATGAGAATAACTCACATTTGAGAAAGTCAGGTTAGTATCGTAATTAAACAACATATTGATGAATAGAGTGCTGCGGAACTCGCTGCGCTCGTCCCGCAGAGGTCCGCCCATAAGTTCCGCAACAATCCACTCATTTGTACTTGAATAACTTGTCACAATATATTACTAGTTTGGTAAACTAACATTACTACTTCCTGTTGAAAGGCGAATTGACAAAAAGTGAATAATCGCATTATCTTACAAATTCTGACTTTATATAATAAGTTATTGTTCAAGTACAAATAAGTGGATTGTTGCGGATTTTATGGGTAGACCTCTGCGGGACGAGCGCAGCGAGTTCCGCAGCCATCTACTCACCAATATACTATTGAATTGTTCAAATAAGATATTCACCTGAAACATGTAGTTTTCAAACTAATGAGAATAAATCACATTTGAGTAAGTCAGGTAAGTATCGTAATTAAACAACATATTGATGAATAGATGGCTGCGGAACTCGCTGCGCTCGTCCCGCAGAGGTCTACCCTTAAGTTCCGCAACAATCCACTTATTTGTACTTGAACAACTTGTCACGGTTGTTGCGGATTTTATGGGTAGACCGCAGCCATCTACTCACTATTATACTATTGAATTGTTCAAATAAGATATTCACCTGAAACATGTAGTTTTCAAACTAATGAGAATAACTCACATTTGAGTAAGTCAGGTTAGTATCGTAATTAAACAACATATTGATGAGTAGAGTGCTGCGGAACTCGCTGCGCTCGTCCCGCAAAGGTTCGCCCATAAGTTCCGCAACAATCCACTCATTCGTACTTGAATAACTTGTCACAATATGAATATATTACTAGTTTGGTAAAGTAACATTACTAATGGCCGTTTCCACCAACTATTGTAGGGGAGCCTTAACGATAAGTATTCCCTAAACTGACATTTCTACATGTAAAAATGTCATCTTAGGGAATACTTGTCGTTAAGGGTCCCCTAAAATAGTTGGTGGAAACGGCCTTAATTCCTGTTGAAAGGCGAATTGACAAAAAGTGAATAATCATAATTTTACAAATTCTGACTTTATATAATAAGTTATTGTTCAAGTACAAATAAGTGGATTATTGCGGATTTTATGTGTGGACCTCTGCGGGACGAGCGCAGCGAGTTCCGCAGCCATCTATTCATCAATATGTTATTTAATTACGATACTAACCTGACTTACTCAAATGTGAGTTATTCTCATTAGTTTGAAAACTACATCTTTTAGGTTAATATCTTATTTGAATAATTCAATAGAATATTGGTGAGTAGATGGCTGCGGAAAGAGGTCTACCCATAAAATTCGCAACAATCCACTTATTTGTGCTTGAACAATAACTTATTATATAAAGTCAGAATTTGTAAGATTATGATTATTCACTTTTTGTCAATTCACCTTTCAACAGGAATTAGTAATGTTACATTACCAAACTAGTAATATATTGTGACAAGTTATTCAAGTACAAATGAGTGGATTGTTGCGGAACTTTTGGGTGGACCTCTGCGGGACGAGCGCAGCGAGTTCCGCAGCCATCTACTCACCAATATACTATTGAATCGTTCAAATAAGACATTCACCTGAAACATGTAGTTTTCAAACTAATGAGAATAACTCACATTTGAGTAAGTCAGGTTAGTATCGTAATTAAACAACATATTGATGAATAGATGGCTGCGGAACTCGCTGCGCTCGTCCCGCAGAGGTTCGCCCATAAGTTCCGCAACAATTCACTCATTTGTACTTGAATAACTTGTCACAATATATTACTAGTTTGGTAAAGTAACATTACTAATTCCTGTTGAAAGGTGAATTGACAAAAAGTGGATAATCTTACAAATTCTGACTTTATAATAATAAGTTATTTTTCAAGTACAGAGTGTTTTATGTATTGACACCCCACCTACAGTATTCACCTTTACAAGTAGATGAAAGGTGTAAATACAAAAGTTGTACAGTATTGGCTAAATTTTTAGAATTCATGGTCAACAACAAAAATTGAATATCAAAAATGTGAAATGTTGCATGTTTTAAGCTTGTTTCAAATGGGAGTAGTCTAGTCTTATAAAAACAGGTGAAACAGGCTGCACTTAGTTGTACAGCATAACGCTATGTGACCAATTGACTAACCAACAACAACGCATGCCTTTAGGCAACTGGCAAGACACAACACAAACACGCACGAACGCCGGGGATTCTCCAGTAGACCAGTGGCCAAATCAGTAGACCTACTGATAAATCAGAAAACCTGGCAAAACTGATTGAAGGTAGAAGACTATATACAACCTGTATATTATTCAACATTTTAAAACTTCATGGCTGGAAAAACTACGACGTATTTCAATGTACCATAATGAACACTAATTATTTATTGCTGAAGATAAAATGCAATAAAGTGCATATCCACCAAACCGTATAAAATTCCATTAGCGAAACATTAAAATCCCTATTTATGCAATGTGTTCCCCTAAAAGCACCTCTTTAAATCCTCACTGTGAAGCGTGAAATTGCTGACAGGGGTATTTTTAATACTTAAAATGCACGGAGAACAATTTATTATGCGGGAGAGAATGAAATATGCGAAGAATTCACAGAGTGCAAGTTCAAATTTACCACAAAATGTTAAAATTCCATATTATATGATACACACCTTATCGTTGCCGACATAGATAAAATGTCTCGAAACTCAAATTAAATTTGCATCAATGCCGCAAAAAAATAAAAGTTTAACTTGCTGCAGACAAAAATTATTTATCGCGGAGTTTGGTAGCATTGCGGCATTTGATTTCAACCAAAATAATACCTACTCAAAGACAAAATTCTCTCTACGTATAATACGAGCTCACTCTCGAGTTGAAAATATCCACATAAATCTCTCTCGAGTTTCAGCTATGACAAAGTGGCTGTTGTTATTTATGTATTAAAGGAAGGCTGGAGTGGTGAAGCGCCCCCTTATGTTCGAAAATCATTTAAATTGTCAAAGTGCAGACTTTAACGTGATACTATCACAATATTCGTAGTTAGTCTGCATTAATATTCATAAACCCTCTTGTATAAAGTAAGAGGGTACTTAATGGTATCTGGTTTTGTTTACTAATATTATTTTTATTTTTTACAGGTGCTGCTTTAATGAGAGTCGTGGAAGTCTACAAGGATATTCAGGATCAACAAATGAATATAGTGAGTATAATATTTAGATGTAAGCACACAAAAAATAGAATCGGTTTTGGTTAATGATGCGGCATCAAACGTTTTTAAATCCTCGAAAATTTATGGGCCGGATTTGATTTTAAATCGAGGTAAATCCCCTCGTTTAATTGGAGGGTTTGGTTATAAATAATATTGTCAATTTATTGCAGATCGTTTATATTTTTTGTCAAACAATTCATTTTTGTAATTGGACAAAATACGATGTTTATGTGTATTATGATTAATGATTCATTTTTTCAAGATAAGGTAATAGTTTCTGCTCTTTTAGGGCCCTTGTTCACTTTTACTAAATAGTTTTGTTCATTTATTCTATCATTGATATTGCCTGTCATCCTTCTTTGATGCTTTTTTTTGGAACATAAAAGATTTTTTGAGGGGTTTCGTGCTACTTTATTATCAAAGTAAATCGTACAGTTCTCATCCTGGAACTAACAAGGGGAAAGAGCACGGCAGAGAAACCCTCGATCTAACATTCCTCAAAAATCGAAACATACTGTGTCATTTTAATAATAATTGTGAGTAATTAATTTAATAAAAGTTAAAACTAGGTAACGCCCCTGTTCTTCTGCTAAAATTTTAAATAAACACACTACATTCAATCAACACTAAAGTGCGTTTTTTTTTTAAAGATAAAAGTCAAACTGACATTAGGTTGGCAATACAATGTAAAATTGTCAATGCTTTCAAATTTTTCATGTAGAAAAGGCTTGTGTTGCCAACATAGTTACTAAATTTTTGACTTGGGGAATTATCTTTAAAAAAAAAAAACAGATTTTACCTGTTATCAATACTGAAGAGTTTTTTGTTAGTTAGCCGGTCTGCTGGAGGGTACTGAGGTCCCATACGGGATGCTACTCAGCTATAGTTGTTATTTTGAGCCAATATCTCTTTCCTTTGCTCGGTAGGATATTCGCTCGTCAGGGTAGGAAAATGTTAGTAATTTCAACAAGGCCCTGATGCACTCTCTGAATATACAAAATCAAAATCTCAGCACAAAAAAACAGCACATGGTTTCTTAGATTTTTAATTTACTTCTTTATCTGTGTTGTTTACAGCATGAAACTCTCAAAGCTGATGTTGCACTTATTGCGATGGTTTTCGCTATTGTATAGGGAGATATCGAGTATCGTATCTTACCTCTGAAAATTTCAGCTTCCTATCTCTAATAGTGTGAAGGACGGAACGCTCTATATCTAGTGTTTCGTAGTTGCTGATGTGTTTCAAGACAGTGAGCCCTGAATGTGGGTTTCTTATTTCTTCCATATAGAAGTCATGAGTACTAGTAGGAAAGATAGTAGTAAGACAAAATGAATACTTATTTAATCTGAATTTATTAATCACACACAGTACTATATTCACACGTGAAGTCAATAATTGGGAGTGTCGAAATACTTTGACGTGAGTTTCATTCTGTGCTAGTTTGGTTGTCAACAATAATGTTGGCAGAACACTAAGAGTACTCGGTAGTTTTCCACTTGTGCGTATAATGTCACGGATGTATGGTGATACTAATCCATAGAGTATACCTCTATTGAAATGGATGTCTAATAGCTGTGTATTATTGTTTGATGTAGTTAACGGCTATTTGATATGAATGTTGAGCTTGTTAGTTTCTATAGAGCTGTACCAGTTCTGCATGTCATTTACTGCCTGGAATTCTTGACTCATGCGTTGTTCAAAATGCTTTAGTTGTGTGGCAAATTTTGTTTCAGTTGCGTTCAAAGTTGAAATTGTGCAAAGCATTATTTTGGTTTGGTGGTCAGAGGTTTTTATTAAGATTACTCTAGAGAGAATCAATGTCACTCTTATTAGTTCGTAATCATCCAAATACGGATTGAAACTGCGTAGGTTACTATTTTTGTCGACTGTTTTCTTGTTGTAGAGTGTTTTGTAATTGTGGGCAAATTCATCAATCTAAACTTTCCTAATCATTTGTGTTATGGTGTCAGACATTTCTTCTACAGATAAGGCTAACGAATGCTTCCTATTACGGATTCTTCGACATTTTCTGCCTTTATTGATGCTTGGTGACACATTTTAACTTTTTGCTTTACATCTAGGCAAGTTTTTGTTGTGGGTTACTCAGCTGCGGACGATAACCAAGATGGTCCATTCCACCATTAATCACGATTGATAAGCTTCTCTGAATCTATACCCCTAGATATTATATCTGCGGGGTTCTCACTTGTTCTTACTCGATTCCAGCACTCTTGTGGTATATTTCTGTATATTTCAGCTACTCTGTTCGCTACAAATGTTTTCCATTTAGTCGCATCACCTCGAAACGTTATCTTCGAATCAGTCCATGCATATAGCTGAGCTTTTTTAATGTCTAAAGCTCCGATAGGGTTTTTTAGTAATTTTGATAATACTGCTGCGCAGAGCTCTAATCTCTAATCTGGGAAGTGTAGTCTTTTTAGGAGACACTTTGTATTTTGCTTGGACTAATGTTATTATGCTCTCTTCATCGACTGTGTTTTTTGTACCGCTATAGATTACTTCCCCGTACACTTTTTCAGGCGCATCACAAAAACTATGTAGCTCTAACTGGCTGCCTTCATAATGTATGTAGGGATTTCAGCTTCTTCTATCTTTTGCAGTTAATTTTGTAATATCTTCCACCACTCAGCGGTTTCATCATCTATGATTTGATCCCATCCCAGATTTTTTATCCATAAGTCTTGGATTAATATGGGATAACTATAGGTGCCAGCAAACCCAATGGATCGAATAGTTTTGATAATATATGCCGTTTTGTTAGGGATTCTGTTGAACTGATACTCGAAATCTGGATGTATCATCAGTTGTAGACCATAATACCCCAAGCGATTCCGTCGTATCATCCTGTGGTGGTTGGTGGAGTGATTTTTCTCGGATTTCCCTTGGAACGTTCACGTATATTGAACCCAGCGGATTTTAATATCTGGTACAACTGCCTTTTTGAGGAGTCGATGGTGTCTGCGCCGGATAAAATGTCATCTACTTGAAAATCTCGCAGCGTAACTTGGCTCACTTTTGGATAACGGTGTTTCTCTGTTTGCGCTAAAGTCTGTAGTATCTTGATCGCGAGATTCGGAGCTGAAGTCGTCTCATACGTAAAAGTTTTAAGCTGATACTCCCAAATGGGCTCTGATTTTTCGGCTCTTCATAGCATTCTTTGATATGGTTGATCATCGAGATGAATTCGAATGTGACGATACATTTTCTCGATATCCGCAGTGAATGCTAGCTTGTGTTTTCTCCATCTTACAAGGATGTCTGCTAAATTCTGCTCTATTCTGGGACCAGTGTGCATGATTTCATTAAGGCTGGTTCCAGATGATGTTTTGCTAGATGCATCGAATACAACCCAAAGTCGAGTAGTCGTGCTTGATTTTTTCACAACGGGTTGATGAGGTATTTAATAATCCCCTTCGTTGACTGGCCGGCTTGGAACCATGTGTCCGAGATTCTTTGAGTATTCCTCTTTAAGATTCCAATCTTGGAGGAATTTCTTTTCTAGGCTCAGTAGTCTCGCGATAGTCTTTGGTTTTGACTGCCCTAAGTAACTAGTAGAGATAGTAAGGGAGTTCACCATCACACCGCGCACCGGTGCAACCATCTGCCAGTTGATAGTAAGTTCTTTAACCATCACGCCGCGCATCGCTGCAACCATCTACTAGTTTATCTATCAGTGTTTAACCCAAGTGACGCCATCTATCAATACTAACCTACTCCGGGCAACTTCAACTAAGCCCAAGCGACGTTATCTGTCAACCTAGCGGGGGCACCTGAGCCTGGGAAATTTTTCGATACCTTGGAAAAATCTCTAGATGGGCGGCGCCTTTGATCTGAAACTTCGGGGATTTGACTCAAGTCAACCCCAAATTTTTGGCGGTTTTTTCCGGAATTTGACCGCAGCCCCTTATCTCATGGTTTCATCTCTAAACCGTAGTTATCGTCCATTCGGGGCGTATATTATTTAGGTACCGAAAAATCGGTGTGTTGAATAAAAACACACACACACGCTACGATAAAATCTAATTTATTTAACCTAATTACATCGATTTTCCCTATAACAAGGTAGAAAATTCTAGATCACAAAATACCAAAAACTACAGCTATGGTTACATATTATAAGACTACTACTGCATTCTCGTAGGATATACAAATTAATTTTTCTCGATTCAAGACCTGATGCCTATACTTAAAATCTATTCTTGTATAATAACTATAGCTGCAGTTTTTGGTATTTTATTGTCTAGAATTTTCTGCCTTATTATAGGGAAAATCAATATAATTAGGTTAAATAAATGAGATTCTATCGTAACGTGTGTGTGTGTTTTTAATCAACACACCGATTTTCCGGTACCTAAATAATATACGCCCCGAATGGACGATAACTACGGTTTGGAGATGACACCAAGAGATGAGGGGCTGCGGTCAAATTCCGGAAAAAACCGCCAAAAATTTGGGATTGGCCCGAGTCAAATCGCCGAAATTTCAGATCAAAGGCGCCGCCGATTTAGATATTTTCCTACGGTATCGAAAAATTTCCCAGGCTCAGGTGCCCCCGCTAGGTTGACAGATAACGTCAGTTGGGCTTAGCTGAAGTTGCCCGGAGTAGGTTAGCATTGATAGATGGCGTCACTTGGGTTAGACAATGACAGATGAACTGGTAGATGGTTGCACCGATGCGCGCCGATGTTTCGGTACCTAAATAATATACGCCCCGAATGGACGATAGCTATGGTTTGGAGATGACACCATAAGATAAGCGGTTACGGTCAAATTCCGAAAAAAATCGCCAAAAATTTGGGGTTGGCCCGGGTCAAATCACCGAAGTTTCAGATCAAAGGCGCCGCCGATTTAGATATTTTCCTACGGTATCGAAAAATTTCCCAGGCTCAGGTGCCCCCGCTAGGTTGCCAGATAACGTCGGTTGGGCTTAGCTGAAGTTGTCCGGAGTAGGTTAGCATTGATAGATGGCGTCACTTGGGTTAGACAATGACAGATGAACTGGTAGATGGTTGCACCGGTGCGTGCCGATGTTTCGGTATCTAAATAATATACGCCTCGAATGGACGATAACTATGGTTTGAAGATGATACCATGAGATAAGGGGTTACGGTCGAATTCCGGAAAAAACCGCCAAAAATTTGGCGTTGGCTCGGGTCAAATCCTCGAAATTTCAGATCAAAGGCTACGTCGATCTAGAGATTTTCCCACAGTATCGAAAAATTTCCCAGGCTCAGGTCCCCGCTAGGTTGACAGATAACGTCGCTTGGGCTTAGTTGAAGTTGCCCGGAGTAGGTTAGCAATGATAGATGGCGTCACTTGGGTTAGACACTGACAGATGAACTGGTGGATTGCTGCACCGGTGCGCGCCGATTTTTCGGTACCTAAATAATATACGCCCCGAATGAACATAACTATGGTTTGGAGATGATACCATGAGATGAGGGGTTGCGGTCAAATTCCGGAAAAAAACGCCAAAAATTTGGGGTTGGCCCGGGTCAAACCACCGAAATTTCAGATCAAAGCGCCGCCGATCTAGAGATTTTCCCACTATATCGAAAAATTTCCCAAGCTCAGGTGCCCCCGCTAGGTTGACAGATAACGTCGCTTGGGCTTAGTTGAAGTTGCCCGGAGTAGCTTAACATTGATAGATGGCGTCAATTAGGTTAGACATTGACAGATGAACTGGTAGATGGTTGCACCGGTGCGCGCCGATGTTTCGGTATCTAAATAATATACGCCCCGAATGGACGATAACTATGGTTTGAAGATGACACCATGAGATGAAGGGCTGCGGTCAAATTCCGGAAAAAAACGCCAAAAATTTGGGGTTGGCCCGGGTCAAACCACCGAAATTTCAGATCCAAGGCGCCGCTGATCTAGAGATTTTCCCACGATATCGAAAAATTTCCCAGGCTCAGGTGCCCCTGCTAGGTTTACAGATAACGTCGCTTGGACTTAGTTGAAGTTGCCCGGAGTAGCTTAACATTGATAGATGGCGTCACTTGGGTAAACACTGACAGATGAACTGGCAGATGGTTGCACCTGTGCGCGGTGTGATGGTGAACTTCCTTACTATCTCTACTGTAACTGGTTGAGTTTTTAAATGGAATCCTACCTGTAAATGTGCCGTCCTTATTCCTTATTATTGTTTGGTCATAGAATTCTCCAGCTTGTGTAACTTCTTCCAATTTCCAGAGTTTGGTCAATTGTTTGTCTTCTTTTGCTTGAGTTACCAGGCTAACGACTTGTATTGGTGGTCTTTTGGTCTGAACTAGACCTGACACTATCCATCCCAGTTTCGTGTTTTGCTTAAGAAGACTGTCTTCAGTTTTCTGGATGCCATTAAGCATAATGGCCATTTTTCCAAGATTCTATTCCACTAACTTGGAATTCTTCTGCAGGTGTTGTTTGAGTTAACTTGGCCATAACCATCATGTTAACTAGAATAGTGAATTTTCTAGGAACTCGCGGTTTTAGGGGGATTGAATTTGGATATTTTCGGACTTTCATCTCCTACCCCAGATATTTCTGCAGAAATTTTTCTTCGTGGAAGACCTAATCTCTGTGCAGCTTCTTCTGTGATACATAATACTTGAGACCCTTGATGGATTAATACTTCTACTATGGCAGTTGCTAGTCATACATTGTCATTTGTATGGTTCGACGACGCCCGTTGAGGCGCTGCTGGTCTTCTTCTTGGTCCAATGTTATGATATGTATTTTGATGTTGATTGCCTCTCCCCTGATGACCCTGATGTAACACTGTATGATAACGCCGACTACACGTGTTACATTTGTTCTTACTGTAGCAAGTTTGAGTGACCTCATGATTCATGCAGTTTTGGCATAAGCGGTTCTTAGAAACGAACTAGTTTCTTTCTGCTATCGATAGAACTAGAAAGCTGAAACACTAGTTGATGACATGATGTCGATTTTTACAATACGAGCAATGGTTGCTATTGTTTGCTATTGCAGTGTTTTTCTTACTGAAGGCGTTACAGTCTCTAAAGACTGAAATTTTCTCTTCAAAAATTTCATGAACGTATCAAAGTCTTATATTTTATGAGGATTCTGAATACTCTGTTCATAGACTTTGTTCGTCTCCTAGTCCCATTTCCTTGAATTACGTCGTATTGTCATTGGACCCCATGACTCTGTTTCCACACTCAAATTTGTGATTGCTTGAAGGTATTCCTTGGTTACACCGTGTAATTGTTTGATCTTATCTGCTCTTTCCACTTGTATTACTGGAAAATCAATGATTTTGTCTAGGTTTTGAAACGAGAAGTCTTGAATTCTGATAACGACCCAGTAGTAAGCTCCATGCTCCATGTCTTGTAATTGGCTTCTGACGTAAAATACGAGCCAATTGTCAAAAAAAAAACCCTTTGTGTACTTTCAATTCACTCATCCAGGGATGACAATTAAGTTCGACACCTTCGCCCAAACAAATCACCCATTCGCAAACAGCTTGTTAGCCGTAACCGACAAATTTATTCATTAAAACAGCCGCAAAACAGAAAAGAAAAAGACACGATTCTGATTGGCAAGAGTGACGGAAAATTGGGGAAAATCCACCGCCAACCCCCCAAAACAAAAGAGCCGCCGCACGAAATGAATTGGGGTTTGTGCGATCAACATGACCGTATTTGAAGGGGTGATAGGAAAATACAATTACAGGTGTGCAAATGATGTGGCTGAAATGAATCTCTCGAACAAACAAAAAAAGCTGCGGCAGCTTTAAATCCAACTTCAGTTTAAAAACTAGTTTAAAATTACACTTCAACAATTATTAGCAAATAAAGTTCCATCCGCGTTAAATTAAGTTAATTGGATTATTGCAAAATGCTCGCCGCCTAGAAAATTAATTAAACTTTCGGCAAATTTTGTTGACAAAACTCTTCTTTTGTGTTTGGAGAGTAGAATAGGGTTTACTTTTGTATAATTTTATAAAAGTTTTAAAGGAAAAATGTTCAATTATATGGTCAAAACAGGTTAAAACTTTCCAATTCGAAACGTTTATTAAATTACTTAACATTATGACTAAAAGCGACACAAAATCTGACACTAACGTGTTTGGAAGTTTTAATTGACGCGCATAGTGTATCCAATGAAATGGATAAACTATAAACTTTGTTAATGATTGTTTTGTTGAGCGATATTAACTTTTTTTTTTTTTGCAATTATAGCTCAAAGCATTCTATGTCGATCTGCTAGTCCCTCTGGAAACCAACTTGGAGAAAGACACAAAAGTTGTTCAGGTAAATTAAACATTTTTTGCTTTATTTTAAGCCCTAATAACATCTCCCCCAAAACGCAGACCTCATAAATCCCTCCATAATCCGAAGTATTAAAACTTTACGGGGCCCATGGAAGTTGTTAAACCTATAGATAAGACAAGGGGTTAATGTTAAGGTAATAGTCCGCGGGGTGTTCTATAGGTTGGAAATTATTGTCTTTGGTTAACTAGGCTGATTTTAAGGGAGATAATTTTTCCTTGATGAACAACTTTGCTTTCTTTTTTCAGTCAGAACAAAAACGATTCCTTCAGCAACACAAACAACGATCGGAGACGTACAGTAAGGCAGCGGCCATGATGAAAAAACAACGGAAAAAGTCAAGAGGCTCAACAAAAGCTGGCCTGGCAATGGACAAGGAACTTAAGGTAGTTTAGTTTGCTCTTTTCTTGAACGGAGGGAGTTTTTTTTATTGCGAAAGAGAAACAAATAAAAATTTCTTAGCCTGAATCGATATAGAAAAAATCGTGAAGTTGCTTTGTGTGAAATTTCAGATAAAAGTTACCTGCATCGACACTTGAAATTCATTAAATTTATACAGGGGAGAAGACGAAATTGAGCTCAGCATGTTTGTCTTCATAGTTTCAAAGTAAGCTTAACTACTGCTAGGGATTTCACATTAGAAATTAGTTTAACTTCTTGTAGAATAAATCTCTCATATAATAAATACTTTCGGTCACTAAATAAATTATTCCTATATGTATCCGCAGTTTTATTAAAGAGTAGGAACCGTTCAAATAATGTTTTTTATAATGTCGATGTTTCTTCATCAAATTAGGGTCTAACTCTACTAATCTATTCATTGATTTTCTCTCCCAGTTGTGAAAAAAGGGCGCAGAGATAAACTTTTATTAATACTTCGTCCAAATATGGCATAGCTGTTTCGAATCGCAAAGAGCCCAAGACTTGGTTTATTGTTCTCTGAAAAACCGCAGGAGCATTCACAAGTCCAAATGGCATTCGCAGGAACTTGTAGTGTCCATCTGGTGTCACAAACGCAATCTTCGGAATTGATTCTTTATTCAACGGGATCTGATGGTATCCAGATGCTAGATCTTGGGTCGTAAAATAGATTTGACCTTTGAGAGAGTCCAGAAGGTCATCGATCCTTGGCAATGGGTATTTATCTTTCAGAGTTTTCCGATTTCAGGCTCTATAATCTATGCACATGCGCGGCTCCATGCTTCCTTTCCACCAGTAGGACGGAAATTGCGTAAGGTGAAGATGAGTCACGGATAATATCATTTTTGATGAAGTCATGAAATATTCCTCTTACGACCTCCCTCTCAGATAATGCCATGCGATAGGGGCGATATGTAATAGGAATATCATCAGTCAGCGATATTGCCATTTCTGTGGACTTTGCTTTTCCAATCTCATCTACATTTGTGGCAAAACAATCACGGTATTCATTAGGATGGTCCAATAACTGTTTAAAATCGGTACCTACTATTGAGCTTGGAGAGCAAAAGGAACTATTCAAATGCTCTTAGCAAGAAAGTGAAGTTTTAGTTTCGTCCTGAAAAATGATGTTTTATATAATGTCGGTTTCTTCATCAAATTAGGGTCTAACTTTAACCTAGTATCATGATTATCGCACATTCAATTCCTCATTCTCTCGTTCTACTAATCTATTCATTGATTTTCTCTCCCTCTTGTGAAAAAAAGGGTGCAGAAATGAACTTTTATTAATACGTCGTCCAAATATGCCATAGCTGTTTCGAATCGCAAAGAGCCCAAGACTTGGTGTTTATTGTTCTCTGAAAAACCGCAGGAGCATTTACATGTCCAAATGGCATTCGCAGGAACTTGTAGTGTCCATCTGGTGTTACAAACGCAGTCTTTGGAATTGATTCTTTATTCAATGGGATGTGATGGTATCCAGATGCTAGGTCTAGGGTCGTAAAATGGATGTGTTATTTGAGAAAGTCCAGGAGGTCATCGATCCTTGACAATGGATATTTATCTTTCAGCGTTTTACGATTTGAGGCTCTATAATGTATGCACATGCGCGGCTCACCATTCTTCCTTTCCACCAGTAGGACAGGGCTTGCATAAGGTGAAGATGAGTCACGGATAATATCATTTTTCATGAGGTCGTGAACTATTCCTCTTACTTTCCTTTCAGATAATTCCATGCGGTAATAGGAATATCATCAGTTAGCGATATTGCCATTTCTGTGGACTTTGTTTTTCCAATCTCGTCTACATTTGTGGCAAAATAATCACGGTATTCATTAAGAAGGTCTAATAATTGTTTAAAATCGCTACTATTGAGTTTGGGGAGCAAAATGAACTATTTAAATGCTTTTGGCGAGAAAGTAAAGTTATAGTTTCGTCCTGAAAAATGATGTTTTATATAATGTCGATGTTTTTTCATCAAATTAGGGTCTAACTTTAACCTAGTACCATGATTATCGCAAATTCAATTCCTCATTCTCTTGTTCTACTAATCTATTCATTGATTTTCAACTTAAATTTTAAATTTATTCCCTTATCTGAATAAAATCACACTTTAATCTGCAAAAAAAAAACCGAGAAGGGGTCCAAAGTCAAGTGTGCTTCTGCCGATAGCAGGTATTTCCTCTTGTGAAAAAAGGGTGCAGAGATAAACTTTTATTGAATTAACTTTTGGGTTAAAAAGGTAAAAGGTGTGAAAGGAATCTTTAGAGATAAAGGTATCTATTTTATATATGCCTTAGGCTATCTGTTGCGAACAAAATTGCATCCATATAGCTTTTATTTATTTTCAGAACATGCAAGTTTTAGAAGAAGAAAAAACAAAACTAGACGCATTTTGTGAACAAAGTCTGAAAAACGTAAGCTTCCCAAAACTCAAACCAAATTTTCCATTACAAAAAAAAATCCTAATTTTTCAGGCTATGACTCAAGAAAGACGCCGATACGGCTTCGTACTGGAAAGACAATGCTCACTGGCCAAACATTACCTCTCATATCACGCCCATGGAACTGAAACTTACACCCAAAACATCGAGAAATGGTCTGACGTGGCTAAAACTAGAGAATACTTACCGGAATCCGTAGAAACTATTTTCAGCAATAGGATAAGGGTAGGAATCAATTTGCATTAAACCAAAAGTTTATATACAATATTCTTTCCCCTAGCAAATTTCCGTTTGGCAAGACGAAGACCTCTACTCCAACCCCAGAAGTCCCAACCTTGAAGAAGACAGAATGAGTTTGAACTCGCAACTTCGAAAAACCAAAAGCATGGACGCTTCTTGCCTGGACATCCGCTCAATGGCTGAAGTCGGCTCGCCCGTTAACACTCTATCCAGAGCAAAATCCGAATACAACTTGAACTCGAACAATAATGGTGCTCAAGATAACTCGCACACTCCGATGCGTCGTCCCAAGTCCATGGCAGTACCGCCGCCACCTGCCTGGGAAGCTCAACTTGCACGAGCTCTTTATGCTTATCTGTCTAGCGGAGAGAATCAGCTCAGTTTTCATGAAGGCGATTTGATTGCTTTGATTGGAGAAAGGAATAAGGGATGGCAATTTGGGGAGAATTTGAGGACTCAGTGTAGCGGATGGTTTCCTTTAGCTTATACTGAGATTTTGATTGATGATACTATAAGGTAAGAATATTTTTAGCATGGAAAGCTAGAATTTAATTAACACTAATGTTAGTTCATTGGCTCAGAATATTTTAGATTTTGGCTGAGTGAATTCAATAGAGTGATTTAGGATACGAGTTTCGTAATTATTCAATCAGGCAAAGGGACAAAAAATGTAACATTTACTAATATACAGAGTGTGCTTAAGGACTGACCACCCTTCTGAAATTTTTATTTTTTAACCGATTCAATTAATTCTTTTTGTCTTATATCTATTCGAATTTGGCTTAAAATTTTATTTCTGTGGCTGTACTTTTGTTGTACAGGCTAGAATAACCCTACCTCGCTTGGAATTATGTGCAGCAGTCCTGCTATCAAAATTCATACAAAAAACTAAGACTACTCTTCAAATGGTAGACACACAGACCTTCGCCTAGACCGACTCCATGATCACTTTTGCTTGGATAAAGGGTGACTCTACAAGATGGAAAATATTCGTAGCAAATAGAGTTTGCGAAATACGCAGAAATACTCCTCTAGTATTCTGAAACCACGTCAGGTCCCAAGAAAACCCAGCAGACATCATATCCAAAAGATTAGACACAGACAAGTTAGAATCAGCTAATCTGTGGTGGAGAGGTCCACATCGACTAACGTCGTGATGCGCTTCTCAAACTTCAGAGAGATGCTCAGGGTACTATCCTACTGCTGTCGATTTATCAAAAGAAGAGAAAGACCTACTCTGTCCATCCAAGTAGTACAAGACACTTTCGAAAAAATCATTGAAAAGGTGCAATAATAAGAATTACCAGAAGAATATAAGTCTTTACAACAGAAAAACCCAATTGACAAATGAAGCGAGCTACAGACCCTCAACCGTTTTCTCGACAGCGAAGGCATAGTCCGATTCGGGGGGAGACTCGAACACTCACCTCTACCTTATGACTAACGGCACCCTATGATTCTTCCATACCACTCATAGATATCTACATTGGTAGTCAGAGACGCGCACTCTACATGAAGTGGACTAAGCTGGACCCATTCAAGTCATAGCAACAAAAGGAAAAGCTCACAGATCATACAAAGTGTACATCGCAGTATTCGTATGTCTAGCAACCAAAGTAATCCACTCGAAGTAGTCAGTGGACATGACAACAGAGGCAGCACTCGGAAGATTAACTGCCAGAAAAAGACATTGTGCGAATATGTACAGCGATAACGGAACCACATTTGTAGGAGTAGCACGGGTATTCGAAGAAGAAATCACAGAATTGATACGATCACAAACTGTGAAAAACACAATGGCACTTCATCCCACCAGCAGTTCCACTGTTTGGAGAAATATGGGAGACAGGTATGAAATCTATGAAGCTACATCTCAAGAGAGTAATTGAAGACTGTACTCTGACATATGAAGAATTAACGACGTTAGTATATTCAATATCAATGGAGCAAATCCAAAGATTTCTATGTTCTTAATATTAATATTTAAATTTCAAAATAGGCATTTACCGCAGAATTACCTGTTCGCTAGCTCATAAAAGGTGCATGCGCGCAGTTCCGTACTCGCGAGAAAAGGGACATATCGAACTAGATTTCGCCGTGTCATCCGCACCCGCTTCTCTAAAGTTGAAAGATAATTTCTACCGCGAAAAAACCGAAATTAACGTTACCGCCCAGCCAAAAAAAATTGTGTAATCTGGATGGAAAGTGTACCAAGGAAGAAGGTAAGCGAACAGAAACGATTATTTTCACTTTGATTTTTTTGGACGAATTTAAAGATTTTGAACCACACCTAAGCAATTTAATATTTTTTTACATAAAAATCACATGGTCCTTCGAAGCATGTCTAAACTCAAGACCAATCTGCCCGCTAACTGAAGAAGCAGATGATTTCAACATCTTGACCCCAGGACACTTTCCTATAGGAAGAGAAATGCTAGAACTATCATGCTTGAGCTCGACAGAACATTTTATTTAACCTAACTCAACGATGGAGACACGTGCAAAAATTGGAGCGCATGGTGCACAGAATACCTCACCAGACTACAGCAAAGATACAAATGGAAGACTCAGATTAACAATATACGAGTATGAACAATGATCCTAATTAAAGAAGGAAATATAAACCCCAACCAGTGGCCTCTGCGGAGAATAGTAGAAACTCATTAAAGACAGATGGAGCAGTCTGCATGGTAACAATAAAGAGAGCAATTCACAAGTTAATTCCTGTACCGATAAAAGACCGACACCATTTACCAACCATTCAAAATCAGTCAGAAGTAACCGGAACATAGCAAAAACATCAACAGAATTATATTTATTGTTCTTCTTAGCAGCCATAATGATGATGATCACAACCCTCACTAAAGAAAAATGATTTGAAATCAACTATCCGCAACATGTACTCTACGTTGAACACCTTGGATCAGCAAAAATTGATAAAGGTTTTTTCAAAATTGTAGCGCTACTTTGGTTTTCCGGTAAGAAAGCGGTTGATTTCGGAAAACTCGGGCGCCACCCTTAGGATTAATGTGGTTAAGGGCCCACGTGCTCTAGGTAGCTTTCAAACAGTGGAGACGGAAAACCAGATGTCTCTACGCATTTCCCAAAAATGAAACACACAATCCAACCAAGAAAGTAGTTTTTATTGTCTATCCAATAATTTTTAATACAAAAAGGAAATGCAAGAAAACTTAATTAAGATACAGGTTTAATAAAAGGAAATGCTAAGCGGAGAGTGAGGGGGGGCGAACGAAGTGCGTGTGCGTGTCGGATTAGTCGCGTGAATTTAACAGTTCAAGATTACGGTACGGTGCCGGTAACGGTTAATCGGTAACAGAAAGCTCCAGGAACCAGGATCGGTCCAGCTCCTACACCGTCAGCTTGTAGGATTAGGCCTGTGGGCCTCGTGCGCGAATTCTTAATTCGAGCAGAATGCAGGTAAGAGAGAGAGAAGAGGTGTGAAGAGTAAAGAGCACTACCCTGGTCGTATCACAGCCCGTAGCCCTCTTTACTCTGTCACGGAACGAACGGAGCTGCCCTGTGTGTGTTCCAGCCCGCAGTTCCGTCACTCCGTGCACAGAAGAGAGAAAGTAGAACTGTGTAGAATAGAGCGCGCCACCCTGATACCAGCCCGTAGCGTGCGTTATTCTGTCACGAAATGAACAGAGCTGCCCTGTGCGTGTTCCAGCCCGCAGTTTCGATCACTCCGTGCACAGAGGAGAGAAAAAAGAACTGTGTAGAATAAAGTGCGCCACCCTGATACCAGCCCGTAGCGTGCGTTATTCTGTCACGGAAGGAACAGAGTTGCCCTGTGTGTGTTCCAGCCCGCAGTTCCGGTCACTCCGTGCACAGAAGAGAGAAAGAAGAACTGTGTAGAATAAAGTGCGCCACCCTGATACCAGCCCGTAGCGTGCGTTATTTTGTCTCAGAAGGAACAGAGCTGCCCTGTGTGTGTTCCAGCCCGCAGCCCCAGTCACTCCGTGCACAGAAGAGAGAAAGAAGAAATGTGTAGAATAAAGAGCGCTACCCTGTCGCCAGTTCATACCGTCCTTTATTCTGTCACGGAAGGAAAAGAGCTGACCTGTGCGTATTCCAGCCCGCAGCTCCGGTCAACCCGTGTACAGAAGAGAGAAAGAAGAAATACCTGCATTCTTACCCGTACTTACATTAAACGGTCGGCTCACATTTGGCGTCGCGGCGCTGCTGACGGCGGCGGTGGTTTTACCTTATCGGTCGGCTGCGGCAGGTCGGAGCGTTCTAGTAGGTCTGGTCGGTTTCGGAGCTAGGAGAGAAGTGACCAAACGCAGAGCGTGCTGCTGTATTTATAAGCGGCAGGCACCGCGTCATGTCGTCGTCGAACGGCAGCGCAGATACCAGCAGTGGGGAATTGAGTTTTCGTACCGCGGCGCTCACGTCGGTTTGTACTGGAGAGTGCTTTGTAACCGAGGTCACGCGTTGCCACAAAATAGCAGTAGGAAATTAATTTAATTAACGGAACCGCGGATAAAACAGTAAAAATCTAGTAACCTACGTTACAAAATAGAGTCAACATGTCCCAAGAACAAAACCGAAACCGACTTATTAGCGGTGTCCACCGTAGTCAGCTAGTTCAGAAATATGTGCAACCAATCCAAGAAGCTCACCAATGACGTCAAATGCACATCTCTCGTACAGCATTTAGAAGAAATGGAAAATCACTCTAAATGGATATTCGTGACCATGGACGACATTCAACACAGAACCAAGAGAGGACTGTTTGGAAAATTTCGGCTCTCACAAAATTCAACGAAACCGAAGCCAGAATCACGAATAAACTACAACATTTCCAGAAACGAATCAACGAAGGAATAGAAGCTATCAACGGCATGCAAAATTGATACCAACGCACTCAACCTGTTCACCCATTGAGTGAGTGAGCATACCAAGTAGACACCAACTTCATCAGCGAAACCAACGAGCATTACGATGAATTGCTGAACATTGACTTCAACAGAGGTACAATATATGACCAAGTTTCACCAGCATATATCAACGCCACCATTCAAAAATCCAATCGAAAACTGCCAAACAACCTGGAAATCGTTTCGGCAGCATTGTCCACAAGATAAATCAGCAATAATACGCACATCAAGGTGTGTGGATATTTTCCAGTCATTGACGTGACGGAATTCACCCTAGTGTTCTCCAGTTTCCGCTAGAAACATTGAATCTAATCCGTCCTGCGTCATCGACGAAATGTATGAACGGCCTCAGCCCAGGCATTGCCACATATAACAACACAGACTACAGGGTATCCTCTGGAAACGACTATACAAAATGAATACATGGATGTTCATCGCAGGTTCCTCTACAAGAGTATTGATTATAGGCAACAGAGAGCGGGAAGATGTAGCAATGAATACACCATCCAGATAAGACAGAATACTCAAACTCCCAAAAGAAGCGCAACAGTTCCCAGTTTTAGGCAGCTATGTGAAAGCTGTACCCTTAATCTTAATTGGTACCCTTCACAAACACACACATTCACATCTAGCCACCGAGCCTATGTTTAGAGAAACCGATGGTTTTGGAGAACTATTAAGAAAAGAGGAGGACTTCGAAGATAAACTCCATAATACAGGCGCAGCATTCATCACCACTCCGCAGCCACCAGCAGCATTACAACAATAGTCGTCATCATAATGGTGATAGCAGGATGGCAGGCAACAAAATTAATAAGCAGAAGACGTCAAATGCAGCTTCCAGATCGACACCAAGACCAAAACGGAGAAAAAGAAGATAATTCGATTCGAATTATAGCCCAATTCCTCACTTTAATCAAACATAAAATGCGCCCGATCCTAAACACCTTCACAACTCAGAGCAAAGTGGGCGAAATCGAAAAATCAATTATGATGTCCTTCATTAAAACATGCAAAATTGAAGCCAACACCAGAAGACGTTTCACGGTACCCTAAAGTAGTGGTACTTCAAGCCCATCATCTTGACGATGGCCTCTGGAATTATTTCAAATTAGTACCAACTATGAACAAATAGTAGAAATAGTTCGTACCCAATCCAAATACTGTTGTGAAAAAGACATTGCTGACTTCCAAAATGAAAAACACCGCATTGATCCACTAAAATTTGAAAATATTTTGTTGTGATCACCTCGTATAATTTCGAGTATAAGATATATGACAAAAAAAAAATTAATCGGTTAAAAAAATAATAGTTTTAGAAGGGGGATACACTGTACCTACATGTCCTTATAATAGCATATCTTTTGATGCTCTTATTTCACACATACGTTCATTTCCCAATATCCTTCCAATATGAAGTCCAATTTGTTGCCCGCCAGGATTTATTAGATAATACGAGCTTGCTGAATTATTGCCTTCAGGAAACCATAATAGCTATTGTCGTGAGTCCCCAGGCTATACCGGCCTTCACGTGATTGCTAAAAGTTATTGTCGATAAATCCACATTAATTTGTCCCGTTCCAATTACTGAACGCAGTCAGTAACTTTATTAATTAGACTAATTAGGAAGTTTTCCAACTAAAGCATATTTATTTTTAGTTCTCCAGCTCACCGTAGCGACGCAGGATCGTCTCAGCAACATTCGAACAGTTCAACAACTCCAACCAACATGATGTCTTCGACAGGTTCAGGTGCTCAAACTCCGTCTAGTGGTAGCACGCTAGAGCAACCTACTAGAATGTTTGGTGATACTTTGCACTTGCACAGGTCCTCAAATAACGCTACCAAGCAGGTAGAACTTTGCTAGATTGCTTAAATTGCTTTGTATTTTATCTTTGTATATTTAATTGGGGGAATTTCTATTCTAGATTCGGAGAGCGATCGGTTCTAACAATATCCCTCCACCAGCAGCACCAGCACCCGTCCCCACTCCATCCTTACCCTACCAAAAAGGCACAGGCATTCCGCAGTCACAAAGCACCAATTTCGGTACCACCAAGTCAGTTTTGGATGCTAATGGTACTTATCAGTCCAGTCAATACTCAGCTCCAGGTAATAACTAATCTATTTTTTATTCAAGATCTAATAATTTATTTCAGGCATAAAAACTTCAGCTTCGGCATTCAATTTTTCGACAACAGCAGCTACAACAGGACCGTACTCCACGCATCCAGCTCCTGCTAGAGAACGGCCCACTGCCGGGTCCGGATTACCGTTGCATCTGCAAAGTAAAAGTGGCAAAATCGGTAAGAATCCTCCTCGATACGATCCTGACTTTTCTATAAATTTTTCGGGACAAAGGACGCGTCCTGGAATGCACGCCCCCTCTTTGCTGTCGTGCCCGAATTTCGATGCAAAAGGGTCAGTGGATAAATTTTATTGTCCGAGCAAGAATTTCGGGGACGAAATGGCGGAAAATAAAAGGGGACTTTTCTCGTTAATTTGACTGAAATATTTTAATTTCTTAGGTGGTCCAGTTGGTAACGTTTCTTTACACTCCAGCAACGATTCCGGATTCTCAAACGATCCTCCTCCGCAACCCGAAATCGATTATTCCGATGACGATTCGATTGCTGGACAAACCAAATTACCAAATCGGTAAGAAGTAATTTTGAATCTTGTCAATTGCTCTAGGAATTTTAGGTATTCGATTAATAAAGTCAAGATTCTCCATTATATTATTCCGCCTCGATTAATAAAACAAATCACTTAGTGGAAGCAATCTATTCAAAGCCCCAATTGTCTAGGGAGTCAGTAACGTCTGATCTTTTGGTTTGATCGATTTTGACCTCAACATAATTTATTTTGTGGGGTGTAGACGGAAACTAGTCAATTGCGGATAAAAGTTTCATTGGACTTTTATCTTTCCTATTTATTTCCAGAGCAATTGATAAGTGTTCCTCCCTATATAGCGAAACAAATAGATACGATTTGCAAAGTCCAGCTTTCCCTTCTGCTCGATTTCAGTGCGATCGAGGAAAACTGCAATTTTAAGTAAATCGCTTTCCCATTATTCTTGCCAATTTATTTTCTCAGTTTTAGAAAATTGCAAGCTATTTTTCTCTGTTTATCTATTTTCTTACAAAAATTGAGTTTTATTATTATTTGCTCAGATTTTATTTTGCATTTTTATAGTAAATCCCGTAAAGACCATCAACGCCCACCCACCAACGATCCAAACAACAACCAGGTCCGTTCACCTAAAACTCCACAGTCACGTCATCGTTTATCCAATAGTCATGGAAATTTGATAGAAAACCGTTACTTGACCTCTGAAGAAACAGAGGCTTCGAAAGTGAAGGTCAAACGTACAAAGTCATTTTGGAAATTTGGCAAAAATAATTCAGACACGGAGATTTTAGAAGGGATGGCTCTATGGAGACATAGAGATTTGGTTGATTTGACCGATGAGGATATTAAAAATAAAATTAACAGTCAGCAAAGAGTGAGAAAGCCTAGTAGAGACCAATCAAATGACTCAGACAAAACAATTAATAACAATAATGTTAACAACAATATAAATAATAGAGAAACTATTGAAAAACCATTATCTAGAAAAGCTTTAGTGAAGCCACGAGAAAGCTTCAAAAAAGACCCTCCAACCAAACTAAGCCTTCCACCAAGAAGAGAAATAGAAAACAAACCCCCTGATGATGATTTCGATGATATCTATGGAGAAACTCACAAAAACAACTACATAGATCAATTCTTAGATGACGATGGAGATGGTTTAATGCTAAAAACAGTAAACAGAAAAAATATCCTGCAACAATACAGTGACGATTTGACTGCAGGAGAGTCAGACTCCCAATCAGAAATCACAACTAACAGTGACGATCCTTATGATTGTATTGTGGTCGATGATCAAAAAGTTCGAAAGCCTAATGTTGCCGAAATCGGTAAGAAACTGGAAAAATTGTCTAAGAGCAGCAAATATTCTCCAAATAAGTCTAATAATAATATGAACAATAATCAAGTGAGGAGTAGCATTAGAGAAAAAAATGAAGTAAATGTTAGAAGGAGCAAGTCAAGAGAAAAAGAAGTAATCGAATATCATCAAGAACAAAGACGCTCTTTTAGGACTTTTGGTGTCGACAGTGAAAATGGCGAAAAAGAACGATTTGATGACAGTTATTATAATGCAGAAATAAAAAACAATAACAAAAAAAGTGTCGATAATAAACGAGAAAGAAGTAAACCCAGCTACGAAAGTATCAACGGCGAAATAAATAATACTAATAAAAAGAATGAAGAAAAATCCAAAAGAAGAAACAAATATTACGATTCAACCCAAGACGAACTGTCAGATGTAGGCGATAACAGACAGTTTCTACCAAGAACAAAATTATCCAAAACAAACAGTGGAGGTTCAAAGTATGACGAAACTCACAGCAGTCTGATGGAGTACGGAGAAACCTTACAGAGACGCCTCAAAAATCCCGAGTACAACTCAAAATATGACGAAAAATCGAACCAGAACGGCAACATGTACGGACCGTGGTACGACTTGTGGGGGTTGGACGCTTCGGCCAAAAAGTAGCTTTGCTTGTTTTACTAATAATATTTGCTTTAGGATTAGGATTTACTAACAATTTTAATGATTATTTTCAGATCCTGTAATTCGAATTTTGCCACGATTAAAGCTCGGAAACCTAGCGCCAGCGCTGACAGAAGCTCACTAATTCTCGAATAAGAATATTATTTGTCTGGCAATTATTCATAATGCTTTGTTTAACATTAACTTAAAGCTTATTTAACCCTTCTTTGTTTCTGTGCATTTTTTATTATTTTTCTGTAAATATATTTCAAATATCTTTCTGGTGGTTGGGAAAGGTGCAATAATCAGTTTTCGATCCATATTAGGAGGAATTTTCAATAACTATTTTTATGTATATATTATGTAATATTGTTTTTTAGTTAGAAATTTTGTTATCCAGTGTCAAAAGTAAAAATCCTTGATCTATCATCTACCCGTCATATACAAGGACTTTTAAAAAAGAACTGTGATATAAACGAAAATTTAGCATTATATATTATATAGAAAGTAAGGCTTTTGTGACAATGTTTTTATTTTGTTTGGCATAATCAAAATTAAGTAATAATGGGAAGTCCCCTGTATAATATTACAATATAATTTTTTAGCTCAGATATTTTGTATAGATTTAATATAATATATAATAATCTAATATTATACTCCAAAGTCACCTTGTATAATTGCACCATATCTAAGATTAGTATAAAATGAAAAACTATTAATAGGTAATACAAGGGTTGCTCCCCTATAAAATACCACATTAAATTATATACCTACCGTCCAATATACGGATATTATAAACAATTTTTTATATTATTTTGTAATCTATAATTATATAAAATATTTACACAAATTGTAACAACATTTTTAGCTTTACTATAGGAATATTATTATTGTAAAGATGTTTATTGTTAAATGTATAACGTACCACTACTATAATGCCAACACCGTATATACAGGGAGGTTAAAGTTTTTTTTAACTGATTTTTTTATGCCCTGTATATACATTATATTGTTTTGTATAGGTGTATTAAATAACGTTTATTGTTATATTTCTGTATATCAACTTTATATTATTTAAATAAACGGTTTTGTTGTTTATGATTGAAAGTTTTATTTGAAGAGTTAACTTTGGTAAATTTACCAATATAAATTCCTTTTTTGTCCCTCTCCGGTCGCTGTCTCCTGTCTTGTTTGTCGTCGCCCCCTCTGGAAATAAGCTACAAAAAGGTATTTTTGTTTTTACACGAGGGTGTTTACAAGATATAATTGATTCTCTGTGACTGGGGGGCACATTACAGCGTTTTTTGTTTGTTCAGGTCTTTGGTAGCTGGATTAGATCTTTTGACTTTATCTGGGGGAATAAACATGACTGCAATTCAAATAGAAAAATAGAGAATGTGGGATCATGTCATCAAGGCGGTTTTTTTTTGACATGATATCCCCAGTAGGCCTTATCCATGTTTTCGATTTTAGGAAAAGTTTTTTAACATTATCATTTTTCGCAAATGCATTCCTCCTTGTCTTCGTCGGCTTCAGGTTGCACTAGCATCTCGATCAACAAATTATCTTTGTCAGACTGTTCTTCTCTGTTGGCAAAACCTCTAGGCTCAAGGTCACTGAAGTCTTTGATGTTTAGCAACTCTGTTGACGTGTTCAGGCATGCCTGAAAACATGGGTTAGGCCTACTGGGGATACCATGTCAAAAATATGACCCGCTGTGCATTCTATTTCAAAAGTAGTGCGGAAAAGAATGTATTTTTTGTTATGCAAGTTATGTTATTATAGTTATTTATGGTACTAGTGTGTTATGTTGAAAATAAGTTACATGAGAAAAAATTATACCACGAGGCCGTTAGGCCGAGTTGTAGGTTTCATTTCTCGAGTGAGTTAGAAAACATAACACACGAGTAGCATATATGGTTTTATTCAACAACTGCGATATCATAACACAAAAGCAACATACAAGGACTGAAAAAACTAACAGGTGTTTTTTGGGAATGAGTCTTAATTAAAGCAGGATTTATAAATTTAATATATATTCTATATCCTACTGAACTATTATAATCATATGGTTACGATAATCATAAACAGGGGCTTAACTCCCGCGCGAGAGTTAAGGATTTCATAACTCCCGCTTTTACCTTGAATAGGTGAAACTTTGAGAAAAAATACACATTTTGGTTTATCGTTTCATAATTCCCTTAATACATAAATAACTATTATTATAAATAAACAAATTTCTGACGATTTTAATGTTGAAAGTTTAATTGTCCAGACTAACAGATTAGGAAAAATGCATTTATAGTTATAGCTTCGCAGTATAATACATTATTACCTATTTTGAATGCGGGCTCCCGCTTTATCACGCTATATCTCGAAAACGGTTGGTTGTACTTGAAAATTGTATATAAGCAATTTTGTAGAGAATACTATTTTACGCAAGTTTTATTTTGAGTTCTTCGACGTCAAATGCACTGGAAGCGAGATTTTCGCGAAAAACCTATTTTTATGAATTTTGACCTTCGATATCTCAAGACGCACAAGGGTAGGCATATGAGATTTTTTTATGCTTCATTAGAACAGCAAAATGAAGGTTTATGCAAAAATTCAGCTTGTTCGGCCTCATTCCGCATATGGCCTATTTTTTCGTCTTATTTCCCTGATAGGGTAGTGAATCACTCACGTGGTACTTTCCTAGTGGTACTGGTTTTGGTCTCAGCTAACTCGTAATTGGTGGGCGATACCTTCCTTAATATTTTGTAGGACCCGTCTCGTTCGGGATTAAACTTTAAAGTCAAGTTCTTGGCTGTACTGTATGAATATTAACAAGTAATTTGTCTCTAACGTTAAACTCAGAAACTACTCTGCATCTTACATCTGCATAGACTTTGTGTCGGTCTCGTGTAGGTACTTCTGGCATCCTGTATAAAATTATCTGAAGTTATTTGTCGCATATCATTTTGTACTTCATGCACTTAGTTCCCTTGCAAATGTTAAGTACGTCGACGTATATCCAATCTTTCCGTTATTGACTGTGTTCATTGCAAATCTAATTGTTGAAAGCCGGAAGGTCAAGTGTTGTGCTTATCTTTGACAAAAATAGCCAATCGTAGCTTCAGATCTCGATTTTTCGGTTCTACCATGTTACATTCCGCACGATAAAATGATGTCAGTGATTACTGAATTCCCATAATATGACAAACTTAACAGTTGAAACAAATTGAACTACATTATTACTTGTCATTCGGCGTGGTATTCCATATCGAAGAAAAACTTCCACAAGTTTTCGTGCACAATCTTCTAAGGTAGCGGTCTTAAGTGCAAACAACTCGATCCATTTTGTTGAGCAATATCCATCTCTATCTGTCATTAGATTCAGGCAAATGTCCAAAAAGGTCAACAGCTACAACCTCAAACCTTTGAGCGTATACTGGAGTTTGCAATAACCCAGCTGGTTTCTGATTATTTGCCTTGTACCTTTGACAGTCCGGACAGTTTTTAACATAGACAGCTATATATCGTCTCATGCCAGTAAAATAGTACTTTCTTGCAATTCGTTGATTCCATAATGAGCTGCAGTGGAACTATCATAATATCATAATACTCGTTCATGTGTTGGGACAACTATCTGCGCTTCTTCCCAGGAATATCTATATAATACACCTTTCATTAGGATGAAACAGCTATCTGTTCACTGAACAATGGTATTATCTTCATTGGTCTCAAAACAGTTTATAATTTTAACAAGTTCGGGTTCCGTACGTAGGTAACTCATGCACAGTTCGGGCTGGTACATCTGCTGTAATTTCACAGATATCACAGGATATTGAATCTTCATGGTTATAGGGTGGCCGCGGGATAGAAGATCCGCTACTATATTTTTCTTCCTCAATATATATTTAACCTTTGGATCATAATAACTCAAGGCCCATCGAGCAAGACGTCCTGTCGCTTAAGTCTTGGGTGTTAAAAGCCATTTTAATGGTTGGTGGTCAATTGTCAATTATCCTCTAAATTTGTCTAAAGCCCATACAGTGGCTTAAGCTTCACGTTCAGTTGTAGTATAATTTCGCTCAGCTGGCAATAACAACCTTGACGCATATTCCACATATTCTTCTGGTTCTTCTCCTTGAAGTAATATGGCCCTAAATGCATATGTACTGCCATCCGTCCATCTGTCGCAATATTGGTGCGCTAAGTAGGTGTTGCTTTAAGATGTCAAATACTGGGCGTTGTTAGTCACCCTAGTAAAAAATCATATACCTTGTGTTTAACTGACTTAATGGACGTGCGATTTCAGAGAAGTTCTTAATGAACCTGAGGTACCTTAAGCAGACTTGGAGAAACGATTGTACCTTTTCCAAGTTTCGGGGGACAGCAATTTTCTCAAGATTAACTCATATACCATTGGGTGCTATTAAATATCTCAGATATCGAACACTCGGACAAACAAACACACATTTGCCCTATTTGCGCGCTACTTGAACTGTCTAAGCCTGTTAAAAATTTTCTGAAGATCCCTCAGGTGGGTCTCAAAGTCAGAGGACAAGACGATCATATCTTCCAAATAAACCAAAATCGAAACGTCTGTGAGTCTACGGCGGAAAGCATCCAATAAACGCTGGAAAGTTGCTGGAGCGTTTTTCAATCCGAATGGCATGTATAAATAGCGGAACGTTCTAAATGAAGTGGTGGAAGCAGTCTTATAGCGGACACTAATCTGGTAATAACACCAGGGGGGGTTTATTTGAGATTGAAGCAACTTTGCGTACACGCAAATGACGTCATTCGTGATTGAAAATTGGTGCACGGCTTATTTGACATGCACTTTTTCAATCATTTGACGTCATTTGCGTTATATTTGTGTGTACGTAAAGTTGCATTAATTTCAAATAAACCCCCCAATCTTTTCACGAGGCTTCATACTTTTGACATCGAACACGTCATAACTTGAAAAAAATGGTTTTTCGTAGATTTATTATTCATAAGATACATTCAATTTTTCGATATCTAACACTCGAGCGAACAAACACACATTTTGCCCTATTTGCGCGCAACTTGAACTGTCTAAAGCTGTTGAAAATTTTCTGAAGATCACTAAGGTGCGTCTCAAAGTCAGAGGACAAGACGATCATATCATCCAAATAAGTCAAAATCGAAACGTCTGTGAGTCAACGGCGGAAAACATCCAATAAACGCTGGAAAGTTGCCGGAGCGTTTTTCAATCCGAATGGCATACGTAAATAACGGAACGTTCCAAATGGAGTGGTGAAAGCAGTCTTATCGCGGTCACTAATCTGGTGATAACCAGATCGTAAGTCTATTATCATCTCCCTCTAGACCAGAAATATCCTCGTTCTGATCCAAAAAGGCTTGTAATCTTTCAGGCTGTTCAAGAGCTAGCATGTGTCCTTCTTCATTACGCAATGGTTCAAGGCTTGATACTGGTACTTGATTGGTAGACAGCAGGACTTCAAAACACAGTTGATGCACCGCGTTTGCCGGGGCATATTACAACGTTTTTTGTATGTTCAGGTATTGTGGTAGGTGAATTATATCTTTTGACTTTATCTGAGGGAAACAAACATGATTGCAATTCAAATCGAAAAATAGAATCATATAAGATTATGCATCCAAAGCAGATACTTACTACGTTACTAAATTATCATTTGCGACCCCCTAAACTCCGTACACTGAATAATTCTAAGATTTGAAGCCGAAATCTCTGGAAAAAGGCACTCGGAAAAATTGAATTATTGATAAATTTACTCCAAACTGCTTAACGCGAGTTCATTTCTGAAACTTTAGGTCCAGAGGAGCTGACATTTTCAGGGATTGTAGTCCTCTACTATGGGATAAGAATCGCTGGAGATTTCAGCTTTCCATCACTAATAGAAAAGAAGTTATGATTTTTTAAATTTAACAAAGGCATGTGCGTTTTCCTAATAGTATGATCATCTTCATAGAAGAAGAGATTTGTATGTTATTCCAGGATTCTTAATTCCTTGCTTTTTTGAAATATTTGCTACGCCAGGTGCTTTTTCGATTGCCCTTCCTCTGACATCTAATCTTCTTCCAGAATACTTGAATTGTTCCAGA